CCCCGCGGCTCCAGCCACGAGCGGTGGATTTAGAAATCCGGGATAACTGGTAAATATGGCAACGTACGTAACTGTTGTTATGCTTTACAGATTTCAGTATGAGACAGGCACCTAGGCGGCTCCTCTTGAGACTTGCTGCAAGTTTGTTTTTATAATATCTATGTAATTCTTTCAGCATTTGAAGTAATTCTTTGAAGTGAGCTCCCTGAAAACGAGGTTCACTTGTGAAGAACTAGCAAGTGTCTCATTAACACACACTCACACACAAATCCACCGGGAACTGCTTCCTTTCCCCCCCGGTTACCTAATCTCTGTGCTCCATGCAAGACCCTCCTTCAGCTTTCCCCTGGCAAACTTCTGGATGATGCTGCCTGTGGGAACTGTTGAAAAGAAAAACACATACACCTTTGTGGTTATCTGGTTTGGATATTTTGTTTTGAAAGCTCTTTATATAAGGCCCGTTTTGAGAAAGGCCTCTGCCTGTGGTAATGCACTTGATAAAATACAATGCAATATGGAGACCAGTGTTGTCCATCTAACCTCGTCACCTGTTCAGTTACCAGTTTATTGTGTTTCTATTAAATACATTATTGCTGAAGTGCGATTTCACAGCCTCTGCTGAATATAAAATGACAGATTCTCCGTGGCATTTGGAAAGGCGACAGCTCCTCGCACTGAGGGTGGCGAGGGAAACAAACAGCGGTGGCGAGTGCTGCAACCTCATTCCTCCCAGGAATGGACCTAAAATCCTGGTTTTTCCTTCTCTGTCGCTTGACCACGTCCTTCCTCTTTTCCAACACAGTTGCTGCTGTTCTCACGGTGACGATACTTAGCGCTCCGATTGCCTTTTGGCACAAAGGGCTGGAAGAAGGTAATTGTTTTCTGAATCTGTGGGCATTGCTCGTTGAAACAGAGCAGTATCACCGAAATTGCGCTATCTTGAGAAGAAGAATGGACACATGGGAACACAGGAAAGTTCTTTGTGACAAGAGTTGGGTGACAGGTATTAATACAAGCTTGGCAGCTCTCATGAGCACATTTCAACGATGGGACAATAACAAGGAAAAGACAAGCACGATGGGTATAACACAAAAGGCCCTATGGCCATATTTTATAATGCTTCAAACTTTGCTTGCCTTACCTGATGGGGTTTGAGTTTCAACAGAAATTACTTTAAAAGGTAGGGAAGAATTTCATTTTTTCCCAAGTCTAAGACCTGTTAGGCATCTATGATACAATGATGTATCTAAAATCCCCATACCGATATTTTATTTGTCTAAACAAAAAAAAATCACCATCATCACAGAAAAGATTCTTCTTGAGGTCAGGATTTGACAAAAACAAGGAACCAAGGCCTCAAAAGGAAAACTAAAAAAACAAAAATTATCTTGGCATCCTGAAAATGTATCAACATCTTGAAAACAGCCTTAGCCACTTAAAAGGACCTGTGGAAAAGTTAAGAGAAGTTTCCTAAAGTCTGAGGCTTACAGAGAGCTTCTTCCTCCATCTTGGAGACACTGTGAGAGACAGTGTGCCACTGAGGGGCAGCATCAGAAAGATGGGGGGGGGCTAGCAACGAAACATGAACATAGAAGATATGCAAGATTTATTTTTATTAACACTGTGCACAGATCTTGGAGAGTGGAGGAGCCACTATATCCTTGTTGTAATCTCTCATCCTAATCACAGCGACTGGGCTTTTGCTAGCTTTGTGCAGCAAATGGAGAAGGAAAACTGTTCCAACCACACCTATACCAATTCTGGAAAATATTCTGCATCACTGCCAAAAGAAGGCTAAACCAAGGGCCACCCAGCAGTAAGACCCTGCTATAAAGTAATCCTTAGGCTGGAACCACAAAAGGATGCACATCACGACTTCCCACCATGGCTAAAGGAACTGAAGACACTTGGTAAAGCTCAGTACTGGGCCCATAAGCAAAAGAACAAACTTTAAAATAAAAAATTAGACAATGTCCCCCCCCGCCCCTGTTTTGGCTATGGAACATGTTAGTCTGGAATTAAAGCAATAACCTGTTTCAGAATTCAATGTCCAAACATCAGATAACTGGAACTTCTGGGCTTCTTCCCTTGTAAAACAGCATGCAAGTTAAATCTGAAATGCCTGTATTTTATATAGACTATGTTTTAAATGCAAACATGTGTAAAAAATGCTATCATGTACAAAACTCCAGTCAGCTATCCTTATGCTATGCATTAATTCCAGAGAACAGCTGGAAATCCCTTGGAAAGCTTGATGTAATTACATCTGACTGTAAATCTTTGACTGTTTTAATATACTCAGGTGACCTAAATAGCATTATGCAGAAAAGAATTTTAAGTTAATTAAGAAAGAGTAATTGTCTCAACTTAAGATCAGTTTCTCTGAGAAATTACTGCTCAGAGAAGCCCCGTATGCCTTGTTCTACAGCCATATTCTTTGTATTTCCACATTGTAAATACTCCATGGTAAATCGCAATGGAAGCTTGGCTTAGCTCAACTTCTCCTGGCTCTGTGGTACTGCTTCTTGGTTGAGAAAACTGATCTGACTCTCAGTTTTTGGCATCTATGCTTTACTTTTACAGTTGACTCAAATGTGTCCACTGCTAGTTTAATGGTGACTTTTCTTCAATATGAAATTCTGTCATGCTCAAACAACTAATTTACAGATGCAAGGGATATGTTGCCAATTGTCCTTTAAAATGTCTCAACCAAACAATTTTTCACGAGGTGTTAATTAAGATGGTGGGAAATCCTGTCAGCAATTCAGGCGAGGTTCTCCTTTGCTCTGGTGTTGTGCCAAGCAAGTTGTCTGAGCACGGCCTAGAACTGCTCTTCCTAGGACGGCTGGTCAGCTGGCTTCACATACATTAGATGTGGGGTGTGATCTCGTTAAAGCATTGGATTTATTATACGGTAGTGCAGATCAGGCACATTGTTCATGTGCAATAGGTGCCTATTCCTTTGCTGTTTTCTCAGGGCTTCTGGAAACAAGAGCAACTAGGAGTTAGCAATAGGCTGGATGAATTGTGGCTGGTTATACCAGCCATTTGGTGTATTATGGCCTAAACAAATCTGCCACTCAGTTTGTGGTTTGCCCACTGAGAAATACCTGTGGGACCTGCTTTTTGAAGGTAAAATTGTGATGCCTCAGAATAACACCCCAAGGCAGAAATATGGTTATTTGTGAAAATTGCTTGCAGAGGATGTACATGAAATTATAGTTTGGATTGAATCTTCTGAAGTTACCCTTAATTTAAGATAGTTGTAAAAAGCCATTGAGCTGCTTTGTGGAATCAGGTAGCTACCATAATATGGGCCTCCACCAAAATTGGACAATCATTGCCCTAAACGAAGGTGTGTAAAAATGTACAGGCAGCAAAGCAAAGCTGGGAAAATAGGACAAGAGGAGATAAAGATAGCAGGACAGGGTCACCAACAGTATGAACCTGAGAAACAACACAGAGAAAAGTCTGAAAGCCAAAAGAGGCCTGGGATTATGATGAAATAAACCATCTCAAATTATTTGATTCTTTATATATGTGAGGAAACAGAATTCTGTGCTTTTCTTAATAAATCAAACCATGCAATTGTATTCTTAGTTTCTTCTTTTAACAAAGCATTCCATAAACCAGCAAATTTTCTTTAACGTCTGTAATCAAAAAAGACCAAAGGTATGAATTGCATCAGTGTTCTTATGGAGTCTGCGTTCAACAGCATTACTGGACTTGCAAGCAGGGATAGCATCTTAGCTAACCTCCAGATTCAGTCAGCCATGAGCACACTGTGAACCTTTTTTTTCCTAACTACCAAATTGATGCTATTTTTAAAAAAACCCACATACAGATTATTTTCAAATGAAGACGTTTAAGTGTAGCATTTCATTAAAGAAAAAAGTGACAACATATACTTTAGCTTTCTATTTCATCTTAAATCACATAACTAGATTATTGCAGTATTCTTTAAATTCAGAAGTCCCTTTCCCAAATGGCAGCGAAAATAGCTTTTCTCGTGACTGTTTAACTTCTAAGAAAGCTACCTTTTTTTGCTCTTTTATGTCAATCCTTCCCCTGCACTGTCATCACTTTACCAGGGTAATAGTCTATTTTCTTTCTTTCTTTTTCCCTTTCTTCAGTATTTTTCTGTAGTTTCCTTCACTAAGGGAAAAGTACTTGATCCTGCTGATCAGGGCATGACTCCTTGAGCAGTGTAATTTTGGGGAGATAAATGTAAACTAAGACTAAAGAACTGAGGGACAAATCCCACATACTTGAATTTCTACTTAAGACTGAGTAGGTTTTGAAGGTGGGGTTTTTCCTGCGTAGAGTAGTGGATAAATGCTGTGTCTATATTTACGGATACTTGCATTTGATTAAAGCTATGTTAAAAAAAGGGGTAATATAGAAAAAAGTCACAAATAGTTTGAAGGCTGGAGAAGAAAAACTTTGTGGCTGAAGAGCTCATTACAATTAACGTATCGAAAGTACCCTCATTACAGAATACACACCTTTATGCAAGTATTCAAACCAATCTGTTATCATACTAGGTGATCTAATGGTCTCTTCTGGCTTGGAAATCATGACCTTAGAGGAAAATAGCTCTGCTTTAAGAGTGTGGGCCACCGTGTTTGTTTATTGGCGATGAGTTCAATATGGCAAGACTTCCTATGCAGTCTTTGCCCTACACCTAGTCCGGGCAGGTATTCATGAAATTAAAGAACTGGAAACAAAATAATCTTGAAAAAAAAAACCACCTGTGGCTGCTTTCTGGCCTGAAGCTTTCAGTTTCTGAAGAAACATAATAACGACTCCAGGAAGGTTAACTGGTGTTTAGGGCAAACTGTAGGATATCTAACCTGCAACCCCACACCAGGCTTATCATAAGTATAGAGCCAAGCTTTTGAGAGTCATTCAGAAAGAAAGCGAACTTCTTGTTGGAGGGGGAGCTCAAGCCAAACAAGGGAGCTGTGTAGCACCATAGGCTTCACCATGCTGAACTATGCCTTTGTGGGACAACGGGTTGAAATAATGAATAACAAAAATATGCCTCTGACAAAATGCTTCAGCATTCTTTAAATGCTTTTTTTTTCTGTACTTCTGTAAGATCATCCTCTGCTTCAAAAGTTTTCCTGCTGCTTTAGAAGTGAGAGAAGATGAAACCCATATTTAGTATTAATTATTAAAGAAACATGAAGAAAGAATAAGTCTCATTCTCACTGGACAGAACCAGCTCCCATGGTTCAAGGACCAAGGTACAAGGAACAAAGACGGACCCGCTATTATTGAAACACTTCACTTAAGACCAAAGACGCCTTGTGTTCTGGAGCAGCCCTGGTGGTGAAAAATGCCATCATAGAACCATACTGTAGGTGGCTGTCACATTTACTGTTTTCTGAATGGACATGCTGGTGGTGTTTGGCTGTGATATTGCCATTAGAGAAAGTATTAATATTTGCAAAAAATAGCTGTGCAGCTTGGGCTTCTCAGTAAGGCCAAATTTTGATTACTGCAGCAGGACTTGGCCTTTCGGTTCCCTCTCTTCCTGAGGGTTCAGAGAGCAGCTGAGTAAGGAAAATGGAAGTGCAGTCCTAAGGGAGAAAGAGGAGGAACTACCATACTGGGAAGAGACATCTTTGATATCTTGTTATTTTATTCATAGCTTCATGAATCCGCCATCTCAGGTGGAAATTTCTTAATACCTGTCCGGAGTCTTCACCTGTCCTGTGACAGTCTCAGGGCAGAATTAAAAATGCAGATATGCTTCAGGCAAGAGCTGCATCCATCATGATCTGTTCTGAAGCTGAAGATGTGATAGAGGTGCAACGTCAGTCTGAAGGCACTGAAGTGAGCATTAGCAACAGAAGAAAACTATGAAAGAGAGAGCTTGAGAGACAAAGGGGATGAATTGAACAATAGCTAGAGTTTTGCAAAGCATTACACAAAACTTTGCTTCAGGTTTGCTCCACTGAGGTGTCACAGTGAAATGTCCTCTTTGTTTTCTTCTGCCCTCTTTTTCTGCCTTGCCTCAGTGTACTGCAGTGCTGGGATAGCCGCTTTCCTCTCAGCCTAGAGCCTCTGATGCTGACTTTGATGTAATTTCATAAAACACTGTTTCTGTGATTCTTTATAAACTTCACATCTTTCATTCTAAGGCTCAGTGAAATGGCTGTAGCAGTGTTGTAGCTGTGGAGACAGGAGCAGCAGGGTTTGAACAGAGGTAAGAGCCAGAAATATTGTGAAGATATATGAGTAGTACTTCTTCATATCTATGTTTGAGTATTACTCCGTTGTCTTCTGTTGCACTTCATCTGTTGCTATCTACACCTATTGGAACAGCTTCATTGCAGGAGTGTCCTTTTCCATAAAAATTTCTCTTCCAATTAATCCTTTTTTATAAAGGTAGTAGTAAAATCTTGCAGGATTTGCAATGTGCAGCCATGTTAGCTCCTCCAGTGAGCATAATTGTCCCTCTTTCATTTGATAGAGCATCTTCCTTTACTCGAGATTAGTTTTTTCCGATTTGTGGTGTTATTTCTCTGAGGCTGATTAAATGAGAGAGTTGGTAGACTGCAACTTGGGAAAACAAAAGAGCAGCCTCACTACTGCTTCTGTTTGATTTCAAGGCAAAGGCACTTCTCATAGCTCGCTCTGTGGCTATCAGATGTTTTGGTATGGTATGAAAACATGACAGTAGAACTATTTATCATGTTAAAAAACAGACATAAATAGGAACACAAAAATTATTCATTGTAAATGATGAGTAAATGTAAGCTCTCTGGATTCCACAGTAGGTATCTTGCTTGGCTCTTTGCTGTTTATTGTAACTGTTATGTACATGCTAACAAGATTAGGAAAGTCACACACAAGTATAACAAATGATGGCTCTGAGCTGAATTAAAGGCATGAATTAATTTTCTTCTATCTCATGCATCATTAAATATTGCTATTGTACTGTCTACTGATTATCTATATTATACCTGTCACCTGATAGCAACCACGGTCGTTATGGTAATGTCAAGATTATAATTATAGTCCCTTCTGCAATGTAGTCATACTATGCTAAAAAATGTACCTTTGAGATGGTCGTGTCCCATGCTTAGTCTCAGCCCAAACACGAATACATTTTGAGATTTTTGAGGGGAAAAATATTTTGTTTCTGAGTTATTAACATTCAAGGAAAATTATATACTTATGTGTACATATATGTGTATATATTAAAATATAGATAGCCTTTTATTAACATTCAAGGAAAATTATATACTTACATGTACATATCTGTGTATATAATTAAAAAATATGTAGCATTTTGAACTAGGGTTTTACTTCATTTGATATAAACAAAACTTGTCAGAACTTCTTATCCCTTGCCAAACATCCCTTTGGCTGAGTTGGGAATTTAAGAATACAAAAAAATGCAGTTACTGCTCAGAGATCAAAGAAATCATGTGGAAGCTTGTTTGGCAGCATGTATCGGTGTGATAGATAAGCCCATACCC